CTGTCCCTCTTATAGCCCTTATCCAGTATCTTCGATCCTTGACACAAAAATTCTTCCAGAAGAATACTGGGTTTCATATACCCGATATTTTAATTCTGCTTATGGAGACACTTTCGCCACAAGAGTCCGAAGCAAACCCATTACACTTCAGTTCTTCCCACAGTGTTCTCTCACCACTAAAACCCTTGGCTCTAGTTCACCAAAAAAAGATATCATCATTGGATAGGACATTCTGACCCATATTCCCAAACTTAGAATTCTGTCTAATAGACTTTGGTTCAAATTAGGTCATTTAGACACTTAATTGAACAAAAACCCAAGTAAATCGAATTTTGATTTGGGGATTTTTGACCTAATTAAAGTGAAAATTCAAATTGAACCCATATTCTAGAGTAAAATGTGTCGAGGATTCGAAATTTAGGGTTAGAATTGAGAAATAGGATCAAAATCGGGTCGAATTTGCAAATTTGGACCAACCCGGGCCTATCGGGTCGGTCATACCCTTCACCCAACCAAGCACTACGCGGGGAAGGTTAAAAAATTTGATCCACCCCGCGTCTTCACCGACTTATTCCTCCTATTCTAGCACGTGATAAACGGAATGGATAGCTAGAGAATCTCCAACTGTCCATCCGTATCGTTTCTAACTAACTCGAAAGTCGGTTAGAGCTAAGAACCGACTCAAGGGAGGGGGAAAAAAACTAAAAAAACTTGTTGTCAAGGCATAGAACCAGCTCGAAAATTTCCCAAGAGAGAGAGAAAACGATCGAAACCAAAAAGAGAAAGTGAGAGAGAGGGTCAGAGGTCCCCAACCGAGCAACCGGCGCCGCCCTAACTGATAGAGCACCGGCAAATCAGGCCTTGGCTGTGACCTCCCCTCCTCATTTCAGTCAGACCGGCTGACCGTGAGGGTCTGAATCTGAGCTTACTCCGGCCAATCGGCGACCTTCCCAGCGAAGTGGAAGGTACAAGATCGAAGAGGGATTGTTGGTGGACCGTGCCATAGCTTCCATCCGGATCGAAAATTCATTTTTGCCTCCCAACGACGAAGGTAAAAACCCTTCGTGGATGCATATTAGTTGTTCGATAAAATGCCAAAATGATTTACTGAGTTGATTCGTGCATGATTCTTGGATTCTTTCACTTCAATGATGCTTATTGGTTTCCCAATCATGTTTATAATCCATTTTTGGTTCGATTTGTGCATCTTGAATCGACGGTTTGACGTTTGCATTGAGACAAACCATAAAAACCTCCTCGCCGGAACAACCAACCCTTGTTGGAGTGTGTTTCCATGGCCGTTGGCCATTCCAAGTCAGTTGTTCTTATTCTCTAATTGTTTTGATTGATGTTTGATTGCTAGAAATGGTTAGGATGCTTTGTTTGCTGATTTGAATGTTAGTTTAGTTTAGTCTTAGACTCTGATTTCCATGGCTAAATAGGCAAGTTTGAGTTTGAATATCAATGGCCTAGGGAGTCTCAATGACGATCAAATGGGCATGATTGTGTAGAGGGTCATTCAGTAAAGGTTTTGAATCAGATAGAATGGTCGGAATGTGGCCGAAAGGTCATCGGAGATTGGGTTAAAATAGTCACTCCAGTAAGGTAAAACTGAAAAACAAAACCAGAAATCCATATCAAGTAACGAAACTTGAACTTGAAAATCAATGGCTTAGGGATGTTCAATAGCAATAAAATTAGTATGAATGTGTAGAGAGTCATTCGGTGAAGGATTAAATATGTCGGTCGGAATGTGGCCGAAAAACCACCGGAACGATGGCCAAAGTGGTGGCCTCGAAATGGCAAAAACCAAAATATCCTGCCCACCATGTGTTTGAAAAAATGCTCAAATAAAGAAGAACCAAAACGGTGCCGTTTCGGCACCGTGCTCGTCGGAGCGCCAGCCGATACTGTCCAGGCCGATTTGAACCGGTTCGGTTTGGTTCATTTTTGGCGGGAAAATTCAAAAATAATAATAATAAATTTAGAAAACAATAAAAAAAATAGAAAATTCATAAAAAAAAAATTCAAAAATTCTAGAAAATCCATAAAAATTGAAAAATAAAAAATTCATAAAAAAATTTCCAAAAAATAAAAAATCAGATTTCGGGAAAGTAGAAAATTCAAAAAAAAATAAAAAATTCACAGAATAGCTTAGAAACCCTGCGACCACCCACTTTGAGTAAAATTTAAATTTTTTGAGTTGCCCAAATGGTATTTTTAAAAACTCCTTGGTTGAGGGATTAAAAAGGGGTCCTAAAAAACCCTAAAAGGGGTCTCTACCCCTAAAAAACCCTAAAACCATACAATTCATTGAATGAACAAGCCTTTAGGGCTTTACTAGGGTTTTGGTGTTTTAATTAATTTTCTTATTGATTGATTGATTTCTCCCGATTAGAACGGTTGGAATTAATAGATAGGTCTTGATTTCATTCGGGGACAGTTTCCTCATTCGTGGTAAACGAAAGTACCTCTAAAGGCGTGCGAAAGCGCGGCGCAACAGGACTGTTGTTGGTCTTCTCCAATTGCAGAGAAAATTTTCCATTTTAGGACAAACAACATTAACAAATCAGTCAGTCTACAAATTTTCTATAAAACATCTTCAGTCTGCCATAGCATACGCCCTTGCACTCTCAACGACCGTAAAATTCACACTATAATGATCGGACGACGTAAGAGTTGGCATAAACGAACTGCTCATAGACTCTTTCAGTCGAGGCCATGCAAGGTCGATAAGATTCGTACTCAGTAACAATCTGGAGCCAAGGGCTGATTGAACATAAGGTGAGAAGATCAGGACGCGGGAGGCATTTTGATTAAACATCAGGGACATTTTACTGCAAAATAGGAAGACAGCATTTTGCGACACTAGATAGAAATTTTAGTATAATCATCGGTAGTTGCTAACTAAGATGATAGATAATAGAACTTGCGCCTCGGCGCGCGTAGTGATAGCCATCAGCTCCATCAGAGAAATTAGGATCTGACTAACAAACCAGGCGGGCTCTAGTTAGTAAGATACGCAATCAGTTTACTTTAGTTTGGTTACCTCCGGTTAAGGACAGAGACCATCATCTAGACTCTGTTTAATGTAGTTAGTTTTCCACTCTGGTCACGCTGATTGCAACACCAGATGCGACCGGACCTGCTTTTGGAATTTGTCATCTAAACTTCCCAGTAAATCTAAACCATAATGACAGACTACACGAATGTCGTAACAGGGGACTTACCTTCTCAAAAGAATCATCTCCGGTAGAATTTACCGTCTTGAAACTCCGCGTCAAGGATGAAGATGGATGATCTGGAGCTGAAGAAAGTGATTAGACACGATGAGCAAAAAGATTCCAAATTAATGATGAACAACTAATCTTGCATAGCAGGAGGAGATAACATTCATGGCTTAGGCCAAGGGCAGAACAAGGCAGAGTAATTCGTATGTGGCTCCTAATAAGCGAGGCATGCATTGAAAGAGAGAAACGAGTTTCTCATTTCCGTTTTATGAACTCGAGCAGTAACATGCTACGCAGGTGCTGTTCTTTTATGTAATACAATGAAATCTCAATGTCTTGTCAGATAGAACTAATAGAAGAGGGTGAATAACTATACAGCTACAGCATGCCCACAATATCAACCGAAACGGGCTTCTCAAAGGAAAAAAGGGTTTATAACTTCATTCCTTTAGATATAATGAAATCTCAATGTCTTTATATGTCAGCACTAATATTTTAAAGCTGTTAGATGGTCCATATGAAGTAAAAAGTCAAATTCCAAACAATCAGAAGACTAGAGAAAAATCTAAATCACTCGAATACGAACATAACTTAGTCAAACGGAATAACTTGTCCCAATAAATTTGTTACATTCGAAAGTGCTCCAATTAAGTTGTTTGGATGACAAATGGCATATCACAAAAACTTAACCACTGCCTACCTTCTTGTCCATAACATACTATGTTGAAACATCAATAGACGATTGTAAGGCTTTCGTACTAGATTCCTTGCTATCAAGCAAGGGTTGAAGTTGCAAACAAACAATATCAAGAGATGGGAAACAGAGGCAGACAGAAAGAGAGAGGCATCAGTTTTGACAATTCTCACCTTCCAACCATCATTGCCATGTTTTAATCACGATCAGGAGAACATGAGTAATTTCTTTCACAAAGCGACATCTGAACTCACCAATTACTACAGTTGCATACTATTGGACTATATGGTGATTATCAGCTAATTATTGAATTAAACCTGGAATGGTCAGAGGCCTTTCAAACATTATATAGGACGCAGAAAAAGAGTCGGACCTACCTGCATTCACCGTAACGTTCCATATTGTGGATTGTAAATGTTATTCCAGGTGCGTAGATGTCAAAAGATTTGTATCAGCTCAAACTGAATGTCTGTCCATACTCCTCTTAGCAATATGGACTAGAAGAGAAAAGTACCCACGCGCCACAATACTCTGTATATCCATATACGGAGAAATCTATAATCAAAGTCCAATTCAACCATGTCGGATGTCTGAGAAAGTACCTTAAAGATATTGGTACATATCCAGTACAGCGGTGGCGCCAAGCACTTGTTTTCCATTCAGGGACAAGAATAATATCAGGTTGTCCATCACCAGCTGTGATTCAGATAGCTTGCTGAAGATATATACTGTATTGAAACAATCCGAATCCAAATATCTCTGCTGGATATGGAAAGGAAAAATAGGTACTGGCTCAACTAACCAACTCCTTTATAGCTTAAGCTGGTTAAAGGGTAAATACGAAAGTCAGGATATAACTCCTGCAATGCTCCTTTCTCAAAGACGATCAAGGACATGCTTATGTCCAGCTCATTCATACAAATGTTAACATCATAGTAAACCAAGCGTAAATCAAACAAAAGCAACCTGCATGACAAGTCAGATCAAGAAAAATAACAGCAAACATGTCCCTCTATGACTACTGCGGTAAACTGAGTGACCCAAGTGCAGGTATCACACAAAGCAAAAAAAGCAGATGAATAAAGAGCTGCTAAACTTCATTCTACAATAATCAAAATTCAACAGATTATACAACGACAAAGATCTTCAGATTAAAATTACTGTATATAAGCTACTCTGTCCTGCTAGAGTTAGTGCCTATAGTTGCAAGAAGCTCCCTTCTTGCAATGACCACTCTCATGATACCACCTACACACCCCTTGCTCCCCTCTAAAGAAAGGCCTGCTCGAACCTCCTCCACCCCCGCCTCCACTTCCACTACCAAATGAAGACTGCCTATTCCAACTCCTACCTCCACTGTGACCCGAATCTCGACCACCTGGACCCCTGTCCCTTTTACCTGAGAACCGATCCCCATGTTGATTCTGTTCATTTCCCCACGTGCCCTGATTACCTGGTGCAACCCAACCTGTATTTGCATTTTGAGGTGGTGCCCCTCTTCCCAATGTCACCGCTGGTCCAGGATTAGAATTTCCTTGCACAAATCCTTGGCCCGTTGGGACCCACCCCGAGTTCGGAACTCCAGGTGCTTGCATTTGACCAGGAACAGACCAACCAGGATTCACGTTTCCAGGAGCCACCCAATTGACATTAGTATTTCCTGATACCTGACCTCCCCATCCAGCAGACGGATTTCCAGGCATTTGGACCCAACCAGCATTTTGGTTCTCTGGTCCCACTGTGGGAACAGTAGCATAAGCACTTGTATTGGCACCCCAATTCATATTGGGTGGACCGACGGACTGGAGATTCGATTGATCACCTGAACCGGCAGGTCTCCACGGATTTGCAAAAGCACCACTAGGGTTACCCATGGCAAAGGAAGCAGAGTTTTGGACAGAAGAGGCAGCTTCACCCCACTGACCATGTACAGAAGGCTGTGATTGTACAGAAGGCTGTGTAGACATACCACTTGGTTCTGACTTCTGAGACAGTGAATTTCCCCAGACTTGAGCATCACTATGGGACCTGGGTGATGACCCAACGATATCTGTTTTTAAGACGGAAGCAGACCCCCATCCATGTGGATTGACCGGCAGGTTATGGCTTCTCATAACTTGGACTAAGTTTTGGATAGTCGCAACATTACTTATCATATCATTACCTGCGCTCCCAGAAGAATTAGCGAAATCAGCTGGTAGTTGAAGATGAGCTGATTCTGTTGACTGAGGATGCACATGAGAGGTACTTGCAGAGCTCAAAAGCATGTCCGTCTCTGGCCTAGGTGCAGTAGCCACATCATGAGAACCATCTGGACCATTCATACTGCCTGATCTCGCAAAAGATGAAGCAGATGACTGCATAACTTGGCTACTGCTTGGGACAACGTTTGTTGAAGGTTGCGTAACTCCACTTCCAGGGATGATATTGGCACTAAGAACAGAACCAGCAGGTGACCATTTGCTTTCATCTGCCTGCCCCTTTGTTGCAGGAGTGGCATTTTGGCCTGGAGTAGGGGATGGAAGGTTCATACCAGAACCCCATTCGGTGGCAGAAAGCTTGGGTATCTCGACTGAAGATGGAGTAGCTCTACCAATACTTAAACCCCCTTCTGATCCCCGAGTTCCACGATTCTGGTCCAAGTTCGACTGCTTCCCAACCAGAAGTTCCGTTACTTGTTGTGAGGGTGCACCCTGCCCTTTGTTGGAGTACAGGGGTGACGTATGTGGACTTTGCACCATCTGAGCCTTCAGAAAGCCACCTTCTGGGGGGTCTTTCAGAAGCTTCCCGTTCAATGCATCAGTTAAAAGAATGGAGTCATCCTGCTTCTCAGTAGCTCTCCAAATTCTCAAATTGGCAGGAAAATACCCAGTGTTATTCCATTTACGCAGTTGTACTATGGAAAATGGCCCCTGAACTTTTCCAGATGGATCCTGGTAATGCCACATCTTCTCTGTTTCATTGACTTGGGGGGCAGCTTGTGGTGTATTCACTACATGAGAGACCCCTGGATTTTCATGAACAATCCTCTGAAGTGACTCAGGCATTGCCCCAGAATTAGAAATTCCTGCATTGATTTCAGAGGTTGGAGAAAATTTTGACTTCTCCCAACTGCTGAATTGCTGTGTTTCCTTCTCTCTGGGTTGATTCCATGCGCTTTGGTTCACTGTCTCACCCACTTCAGTAGCATCATCCCCTCTCATTAAAGTGCTTTTATTAGACAAATTTCTGGTCAATTCTCTGCTAGTGTTTGTATAAGCCCTTGTTCCACTCCAGGAATCAGTTGGTGTAGAACCTCCTTTCTGGGGAGATATTGGATCTCTCCCCCTCCCACTCAAACCAGTACCTCTTGCTCCTACATAACTCTCTGCATGGACAAGAAGTACGATAAGAACAGAGAACGTATGCGGAAATGAGGTATTCATTTTTACACTGCCTACCAAAAATAAAATGTACCTTGTCTTCTCTGATCTGCTTCACCTTCATCATCTTCAGACTCGTAGCTTGGATCCATTTTTGGATCTGAATGTATTTCCGGAACCTCCTCAAGTCTTCGTTGGCGCTCCTCAGGTGCTTTTAGAACCTGCAATTTTTCTACACATTCTCTGAGCGTAAAAGAAAGTCAAGGATAACATCAAATTCGCTGTGCAAGTGATGTTATATAATACCATTAACAGGTTTAAAATGGTCGATTATATTTCAGGCCCTTTTCCTGAATGATGAGGTGGTCAGGAGAAAACAATGCGGTCACATGACAATAATTAGTATTGATTGTAGTGGAGCTTCAGAGTCTGAGCTTATGCTAAAAACATCATCCTATGGGTCAGTGAAATAACCAATGTCTGAAGAACGAAGCCAATGTCAAAACCACCACTATTGCAAAATGTTTCACCACCCAAAACTGCAAACAACCAACACGTATCAACACAACAGCGAGAATGGATGCAATATGAAATGCAGGTACCTAAGGGCGTGTCCGGATTAACAATTACCTTTTACTTTTTACTTAATCTCAATATTGCAATGCATGCACTTTGACTTATTTTTCAACAAGACGCTTGAAACTTTCACAAAATAAATGTTGACAAGTAGAGTCGCATATCACTTTATCATAATTTTTTGAAAATTGGATAATATTAGCTAGAAAGCAAAACCTAAACCTAACTCATGAAACTGGAATTATGTTTGTCCAGCCAGTCAAATACACAACCTATTAATGTTTGTTCAAAGTCGACAAAAAATTCATACATTTATATGATTTTGCCAGCCAAAAATCACTGAATGATTCCACTCATACAAAAGATCAGAAATTTGAAGGAGTATCAGTGCTTGACAGGATAATAAAATCACTTAGAATAGTTTAATGTACTAGCTTTTCCAATCGATTCCTGATTCACCTCTTCAAAAAATTCAATCGTCACATCTATGATTCATCTCACAGCTAATATATCCTAACCCCTTGAAACATAATGGGAATTTCCTATACTTATACGATCAAAGGACTTCTTCAACATTCTTCTCATTCATCTTCCTCTGTTACTCTTTAACAAAACGCAGGAAGCATTATTAACTTGTAATTCTTCCCAATCATTACTTATACGATCTGCCATATGATATTGACATATGAACCAATATTCCTTTTTTATAAGGGAGGGGATGGGGATGAGTTGGGAGAGTCTAGTTCTACAAGAGGTATGAGTCATAATTTGACAGTTCTTGCTTTATTTGAGCTAAAAACAGAGTTCTTTGTTCAATAATCATGATAGAGACGTGAAGACCTGCAGCCCACTACACATTTGCTTCAAAGGTATATTAGCAAAGTAAAAGCTACAGAAGACATGCCAACAAAAAGAAGGGAGAAAGAGCAGAGGGGAGGGGGACGGAAATGAGAAGGGAGAGGGAGATGATCAATCAAAAACTAATTTAGCCCCGCTTTTTCATATATGCAACTTATGAACAAGAAAACAGATAAAACTGTTAGATTAATGGGTACAAACATGCGGCAGAACAGTCCAACAAGAGCATCATTATAGCCTTAGTCCAGTGTGCAGAATTTACCCGAGAGAGTGACTGTAAAAATTAATTAAAAGGCATTGTTGCACTTAAGAAAAGTCTAAAATGCATAAGAAGGATATTCTTTTCGGTGACCTTTTTCACTTGCTCGATCACGAAGGTGACTGAGTCGCAAAACTTCTGCCTCCAGCCACTGCATCAGGAGAAAGCAAACCATTCCTATCATTACCAGTAATAGATAGCAATTTATTTCTATCAACTGGGCTCTAATCGCAAAATAAGAGGGAAAATATGCTACTGTTCTATCTAGAAAAGCTGAAAGCTATTTTTGACGTGCAACAAATTTATTACGCTGGGCTATAATAAATAACTGTCTGAGTATGCCCAAACACTATTAATATATACACATGTACCGCAAAGTCAATCAAACAAAAATAAGTTATGTTCATTCTGACCCTATATTCAGAAAAGATCTTCAAGAAATTGACCTATTTGCCTCTTAAAATGCGTAAGTTGCAAACTTGAAGCCAATGTCACTACAGCTCATATCGCATGCCGATTTACATTATTTTGCCTGGCTTTCTTCGAAACAATCATGAGCAGGATTCTCATCCATTATGCAATTCTCATTCTTGAAACCATAAAGAAGCCTTAGAGGCTTAGAGTATGTTCTTATTGCTGTGAGAAACTTTGGTGCTTTGTTGAGCTGCAATGTGCTGAACTATGTTTAATATAACCATTTGACAAGCAAATTCAATATGATCCAGCAATTAATGAAATTAACCTTTCTATATGATTTAAAGGTAAATTCGTCTCTCAAACACAAAGCAGCTTTCCTTAAAACATTTTTGATTTCCAAAGGCACTAAAATTTAAAAAAAACAAAAAGATATATAAGCACCCTTTAGTTGTTGCTTGAAAATTGACTTTTGACTGCTTTAGCTTTCATCTGCTTCTACCTTCAAAGATTTGCCACATGCTATACAAAAATGCCGCAACTATCTGAAAGCAGAAGCAGCTGCCAAAGCATTGCAGCAGGTACTTTATCTTTTCATTAATGCCATCCTAAGTGACATGCCATCAATGAATACATATTTCAAGAAGAAACCTTAGTGGAAAGCTTGGGTAATCTGGCTAAAATCCAAACGAGGGCAGAATGACCAGGTCAGTTGGCAGGAACCCAACCAAATATTGCTGTTTATGCAGCTGATTTTGACCCAGGTTTAGTTCCATTTACTTCTCCAACATGCGCCCTTAATCTGCATTTCTATGATTGATTTGGATGGGACAAGACAGGCACAATTTCAATATAACATGAGCTAACTTGAATCCTAGTGGTCTGACACAGAGATACACCCCCCCCCCCCCCCCCAATCCCTTCCATGGTGCACTAATTCAACCTACCAAGTCTTTGAAAAACACAAACGCAGCTTTTCGGAAAGACATTATTACCCAGCTTGACAAATTGAACATAACTGATTGTCGGCAAGTAGAAATTGTCTATGGAAGTAGCAAATGTAATAAATTTCAATAGTTCGAGTAGGTCTGAGCAAGAAAATTACATCTTTGACTCTTACTGCCTGGAGCGCTATGGCCTTTTCCTGAATATCACCCTACAGGAAATCATAGAAAAATTTTCAGGTTGTAAAAGTTATGAAGAAAAGAGATAAAAAAGAAAAACATAGACAAGAAATATTACCACAGTCAGACGGGTGATAAGTCCACATTTTATACTCTGCCGCAGGCGCTTGCATTCGTCCTGGAACAGCAGGAGTAGATGCATTGTTTAACAAACAGAATACCCTATACTGTCGAAGCAGGAAGTGCAATTTATCTACAAAATTTCACTTATAAAATTTTATTACGTGACTGGATTTAATCATTGGTTCTCCTAATAGCAACTTCTGACAGCAAGCTATTGACATCAATAGCTCAAAAGTTAGATCAAGAAAATCCTTCAAATTCATCAATCACTCGATTGAGTCATTGCATCAACCGAGAAGAAACTCATCAACAACTAGAACTATGCTAGTAAGCAAACTCAAGAAGCCACATCTCATCTATATCGAACTGCAAAGGACTTCAAAGAAAAGCTCACCCAAAATCAATATCATGCAAATGCAAAATAGGAAAACAAAAATAAACCAATTGAATATCTAAATGCATTACCTCGGTAAAATCTTGGTTGGAGATTATATCAACTGATATAACCTCAGACTTGTTTAGATTATATATTTCCAGAAGATAATCCGTCATCTTTTTGCCAACTTTGTATGGCTCCGGAGCTTTGGTAGTACCTGGAGGTACAATGGTATATATACTTGAAAATCTTGTTACTCATTTGGAAAATCTTCACTGTTTATAGAGAATTGATGGGAAGCAAGACACATACCTATTATCGGGACTAATCTATACAGATCTTGCTTTTGATTGCTACCAGAAATTCTTATCCTGACAAAAGAGCCAACAACTTTATCATGAAATGTCCCACCATCGTCAATCAACTCCTCCACCAGATTACGACGCAAGTAAATCAGATTGACATTGTGTGTATCAATAGCTGCATAGTCATCAAGGTTAGACTGAATTCCTCTCTCATCATTCTTTTTTCGCGTTTTGCGTCTCTTCTCTTTAACCGCCTTTACTGAAGCATCAGAGTTCCCATTAACATCAATTTGATTGGCATCAGTATCAACAACACTCCCTTGAAGATCATCTGTATCTTCCTTCACAAGAAAGTGAGATTCAAGAAGCCTCAGCATTTCAAAATGCCCCACACGTGGCTTGCCAAAGAGATTTTGAAGCCTTGAGTCACAAATTATTTGACTTTTCCGCCGAGGATCTCTGAGTTTGTTGCTCTTTATATATTCTAACAAGAGAGCCTGTACATCAAACTGAGAAAGAACAGATCTATCACCATTTCGCATGTGCATCACAAACTCCAAAAGCTCCTTTGATGCCCACTCAACACCGTCATCTGCAGAAGGATCTTCCCTACTAACTCGAGTTGATCTGGTCAGTGAGTACTTTTCCTTGCTGCGTGATTTTGACTGTTTCTTTGCCTTCCTCCTTTTAGAGACAGTTACTACCGCATTTCCAGAAGAATTGTCTGAACCCGATCCTCCATCATCATTAGCATCATAAAGTTCATCAGGAGATTCTTGTTTCCCTGAAGTTACATCAGATCCTTTCCATGGGTTCTTAGCCCGAGCAAGCTCCTCCAAAGTCAGCGAAAGCCTCTCTTTTAAGCCAATATAGTAATCCTTGAACAGGTATTCCCAGCTGCTTTTGTCATCAAAATCTACTTGACCCTGCAAAGACATTAAATACCTAGCATAAGCACTAATAAGATGACATGATGGGATTAAGAGGATACATAGTAAATTTTGAAAAAGGAAGCACATATAACAGCTCCAAATAAGAAAATATATACACCACGCAACTGAGAATAAGAGTATTTCCAGTGATTAGACATCAAATATGCCAATTGACAAACAGTCTGCTTAGCCCAAAAGAAAAGCATGTATTCTGGCAGCACATGTCATTGCACAACTTTTCAAGAGACATTACGGATTTGAGCACTTTTTGTGAATGGGTTCGGAACCCCTTGGTGCCTCATAGCGAACTTCTCTTCATTTAAAAAAAAATAACATTTCAGGAGACATCATACCTCATGGTTACGAAGATGTTTTTAATGCCAATTAAAACAGATGGAGGAAAACAGAAGAGAGTTGAAGAGATTGCACGGTTCAGTCAAATAAAAAGAAAAAAATTAAGAACTTCATTTTCGGGAATGTGATGCAAGAAAGGACCTGCCAGTCTCTAAATGAAAGTGCAAATTCATTCCCATAGTGTTAGGGGTTGGTCAAACGACAACCGCGGTAATATATTGATTAAATATTTTAGAGCTTGAAGTGGAGTTTGTCTGTTCACGTGAAATACAATACAGTACTTGTCACGACTTGTTGGTTACTAGAAGTCTAGAACAGAATCTCTTCTATATGGAAAGCAAACCCAATCACACATTTCAAACTCAAACTCTTACTACAAAATTCCACAAAAAGACCATCCATTTTGTTAAAGTGACCTATCATAACATGTTACAACTAAATGGACAAGATCGTAATGTTAATAGTCAAGCCAATTTTCATATTTCACTGTTCAAAAATTAAATTCAAATCTCTCCAATCTTGCAATAATTTAAAAGTTTTCCCTAAACAAAAATTAAACATTTTATTCGTCTTCACATAATGACAACTTTTTTCTTTTACCCACACGTATAAGTATGCTTTTTTGCTATAAAGATAGTCACTGATGATAGCCAAAACATAGAACAAAAGATGAATGGCTATTATGAACTTTGGTTCACAAAAGAGAATAGCTATCAAAAGACTATATTAAATTGGTCAATGGAATTTCCCAAAGTATAATCTATGGTGAATTGTGATTTGAATTGTTTGAGTGCAGTCCCAATTTGTCCCAAATTTGGTAAATTTTGTGGTGATTGTAAGCGAAGGAGTAAGTGAATACAGTTGAGATGGTGGTGGCTGTATTGATCTAGAAGTTGCAGCACAGGTGACGTGAGGGCGGTAGAGGAAGGACGTCCTGGTATTCCATCTGGGCACTCTACTACTTCTACATCTTTTGAGTCAATAAATGCTAAGAACCAGAGACATTTGTATGTGACAGAGGAAAAAGGCTCAATATTCTTTTATTGCTACCATTTTCATGCTTCCGACTTCAACTACAACTAAGGAAAAAAATAATGAAAATTAAAACATTAAAAGACCACATCAAAATGAATAACCTTTTTCTCAATATTAGTCAGTAAGTTAGTTAGAAATGATACATCTAGGTTCACTCATACATAATGGTGTTGAAAAACTTTTAATGTTATTGTTATGGCACTCCACTTGCCACTCATGTGAATTAAATGGAATAGTGGATGCAGAATGAACCAAACTTCCCACTTGTTGCCCCACTTTGCCTTTTTCACATCAATGAGTCAAACACCCCATGAGAGTTTAAATCCTTCAAGCATTGAAACCTTTTTTAAAAGATCTAAACTAAACAGAACGAACCGAGCTGCTGATACTCGGCTTCGTACAATTCATACAAATAGACAACTAATGGAATTTCTAAAAGTAAAGAATCTATGCACAGGATTCTCTTTTGCCCACCAGCAACCCCCACCACCACAACAGCTTCAATGTGATGTGAATATTTCAGCTGTGCACTTCATCTAAAACACATAAAAAGGGGAACGACATAAGATAAGAATGGCAAATCACTGGACTTGCAAGTATCTGTCCAAAAAAGCTGCATTAGAGTCTTCGAGTTACACATAACAATCAGAAGAGCACATACCACGTCCCTGCTCCCCTGCTCATTACTCTCGATCATCATGACTGTTCTCATGCATGTTTCACAGAATCCTTTGTTTCCTCTCACACATAGGATAACAGCATCTCTGATACAACTCTTGCATAGGGAAAATGTACAAGTATAACACATATAGTATGCATTCTTCTCACAGTTGCTACAGAGGTGCCAACCTGTATAATAACAAACAATTTATATCATATGACAATTGAGAAGAGCGTCGATGGAAAAGAAACTGGAGCAAACAAAAAGTATTAGCATGAGGCCGCAAAGAATTAGCGGATACACAATGAGACAGAGACATTTTCATATTCAAACTGCCTTAAGATTACCAAACCTTACATGCTGTGAATTATAGCCCTAAAATTATTCCAATGTCTCAGCAAATTACAGCAATCATGACTGCAAAGAGAAACTATCTAATAAAATTAGTGTTCACCATGTGTAATAGATGACGTGACAAAGCATCTCTCGAATTATGGATGAGTTGGTTCTTTGCTTCCATTTAAAATGGATTTGGCAACACTTGATTGGCTGTTACAGCACACACCAGAATCACCAAAATACATAGTGTAACACTGTAACTAACAAGGTAGTGAAAAGCGCTTTCTTTACCTATAATCTGTAAGGTCCCCATCCAATCAGATAGTAAGACGATAAGATAGTAAACTTTGTGAAATAACGTGGAAAGAATTATTGAATATCACACAGATTGATTACAAACTGCATACAACGATATTAAACAATAGAAGCAAGTTAAAAGTGTCATTCTCACAATTTGTAAGTGCAAAAGGAGCATATTAAGTTCTTAAGTAATATACGTGCACACAACTAGTCAGAGACATAGTTTAAATTTGTTTTATTATATTATTTCACATAATCTTGAAAAGAAATTCAAATTTGAAATCATCAGACTTCCCATCTAGACTCATGATATAAGAAAGAATCATCATAAAATCTAGAAAAAAAACAGGAGGAATTTACTGATGAAAGAATAAAATTTCGAAGGAATACATACAACAATGGACTCATGAAGTTGAATAAGGAACTTTGAGATCACTCTGCAGTCATAGCTAAAGCCCCCAAAGCCAACCATCACATAAAGCCTATTAACTATGGCATTGCAAACGAGCGATGAGAGTGACAGCTCAGTTTTGAAGTTCTTTCAAGTTTCAACTTTGCAAGTTCTCATTGCCCTAATCTGCTCATAGCTTGGGGTTTGCTGCATTAAAGGAACAATAGGTTTCACTAAAGCCAAATGGGATTTTTTCACCTTAAAATGTCTTGGATACTTAAGATCCCCAACAAAGAGCGCCTATGAATTAAACGAGCCAATATATGATCCAACAGGTAATCTTGTCCATATTCACAACTTGCAAAGCCAACGCTTTTAACCGAGCTAACACCATTCTTCACTTCTGGCTCATTAGATCACACAAATTAACATGCCAAATTGCTATATTAAATATGATGTAAATTATGCGTAAGCTACTTCCCAATTGCAATGACTTCTAAAATTTCATTGCACTTAGCTGTCATCCAACTTTTAGCATCCTCAATTTGAAGTACAGTACCCCCTTTGGTAGGCAACAAGCTAATCCGCATTTCACCGTCTCAAAGAGTACTTTGGCAAGTTTTTATAGTGTACAAGTACAAGCACCAAAAAGAAGTAATACGTGAACTTGAGTCCAGTCTGAATCTGAAGTTTGCAAAAACTTAGGGTTTGTTTTTTTAGCTTGAGTAAGGTTTTTTTTCTTTTTTTTTTGCTTTCCTTCCAGATTTTGCAACCACTGAAAAGTATTTTAATGTCTAAACAAATCTTAAAAAATTCTAAATGACCCTATATATCGATAATTATATGCTTACAAAAGTTTCAGGTGTTCACCATTAAATTGAGGTCAAATTTTAAAAGCTACAAGAACAGGAAAAAATGAAAAGTTAGAAGTTAAATCATTCCAAAAGCACCCTCAGTTACGAAGTATCAGTAGGTCCATCCCATAATAAAATTAATCAGAGTGTCCCTCTTCATATAAAGCAAGCCTATCAGAAGGAAGAAGACATCAACAAGCTTTCAGAAGGAATAAAAGACAAAGCAGATCGCAACACCAACTTCCATGCCAAATTCACACAAGTTAAAACGCAAATCTAGTAGAACTATTACTCACAGAGAGAAGTTTGATTTTATCAGTCAACCTGTTCGCAACTACAAGAATCTGCAGTTCCCTTATCTCGGAGACACTTACAATTTCAAAGGAATAAACAAGAACAATTGCAACTATGAGACCTAAGTCTCAAGCTACAAATTTAACAAAATGGAAATGCCCAGATCAACATTTCAAGCCAACGAAGGTTCAATGGATGGCTATAACAAAACTAAAGTTACGAAAAGAAAGGCTTACCACAGTTCCAGCGCCCCTTAGTTCGAAAAAAAGCCTCATCACGATTCACGCACGAAGGATGATATACCTTAGGGCATCCCCTAAATATAAGAATTTAAAACATCAGTCTCATTTAACAATGCAAATAGTTTTGCTTTCAAAACTGGTTCCTAATCATATCAAAAGTAAGTAAAGACAGTTGAAGCTGGGCACACCACCTTCTATCACATAGCACAAGTTCGCCCCCATCAAAACAGATGAAGCATACATCCTCTTCCATCTTCTTCCTTGTAGGAGCCTTAACTCCCTTAGAAATCCTTCCTCGCTTCCTCTTTTGACCACCAATTCTATTTGCTTCCTCAACCTTCTCCATCTCATCCAACACATCTGTCTCATCGGCAACATCAGTGTCCTCAGGCACATCCATTTCATCAACTGTTTCTGTATCCCCTACCACATCATCCATCTCTTGATCCTCTATCTCGACATGCTCCGCTACATCAGAAAACTCCACGTCTTCAAGTGCATTCCCACCTACCACAATACCCTCTGCAACATCAGTAACCTCCAAAGTTTCCCTCTCCTCAGTCTCCACCGGACCTACATCTGCTGTGCCAACAACTGCATCGTCAACCACCAAATCCCTTTCCACAACGGCAATGCCATCCATATCATCCACCGGTGCAATGACTTCCATGGCACGAGCCATGCCCATGTCCTCCTCAATGTCCTTCAGCGCCTGAGTTTCTTCCCCATGAGCAACCTCTTTATCCGTTGCTTCCACAATGCCATCTCTTCCTGTATCCTCCTCTGGCACCCTAGCCACATCAGCACCCTGCTCTGCCTCAATCTCCTCATGCTCTTCTGTGCCAATTTCTGCGTCCTCCATTGGTTTCTCATTCCCGAAAGCATCACCCTCCTGCTTATCCTCTGCCACCTTCCCATCCTCCACTTCAACGACCCCAGTATCATGCTCAGCCACTTTATTGAAAGCCACAACAGCATCAACCCCTTCAATCTCTTTTTCATCCTCGGCTCCTTGAACCTGCTGTGCACCTACCAACACATCATCGCCCTGCACACGGCGCATCTCCTCAACGTCCGTGGCCAGTCCCTCCTGCTTATGCCCTGCCACCTTCCCCTCCTCCGCTTCAAAAACCCCAGCATCATCCTCTGCCACTTTATTGAAAGCCATAACACCGCTGACCTCTCCTTTAACCTGGTGTGCAGCTTCCAATACATCATCACCCCCCACACTGCACATTTCCTCTACCTCTGCGGCAGGTACTCCTTGTCCATCGCTCGCCTCCCTATTCTCCACCTCCACATCATCGTCGGCTATCACCTTCTCCTCCTCCACATCAGACATTCCCGCCTCCCCAGCAGCTGCTCTATTCTCACCTTCATCCGCCAAGACCTCGTCCGTCTCGTTTTCATCCTCAGCCCCTTCCTGTACCACATCATCCGCTGCAACTGCAGCCCCCAAACCTTCCGACTCCTCAGCATCTCTCTCCAGCTGGGAAAACTCTGCCTCCGTGACCTTAGCTCCTGTTTCTTCTCCGCCGACTACATCTCCACCATCATTTGGGCTTTGAGGAGGTGGAGACTCCACAGCACCTTCCTCCAGCTGGGAAATCTCTGCGTTCGCAACCTTTGCTCCTGTTTCTTCTCCGCCGACTGCATCTCCACCATCATTTGGGCTTTGAGGAGGTGGAGACTCCACAGCACCTTTCTCCAGCTGGTAAACCTCTGCGTTCGCAACCTTAGCTCCCGTTTCTTCTCCGCCGACTGCATCTCCACCATCACTTGCGCTTTGCGGAGGCGGCGACCCCGGCAGCGACGGGTCCAATTCCGTGGCCACTGGCATCTCCGCCACGGAGACAGACTGATTATCGCCCGCAACAGCACAATCCCCGCCTCCCGTCCCAGAAACCGGCTCTCCATCATCTCCCGCCACGACCGGCAATGCAGACTCGGGCTCCATTTCCGATTGCCGACGAGGCGACGCCCCCTCCGCCGCATCCCCAACGCCAACGCCATCCCAGCCGATTCCCTCGCCGCTTCTCGGCGACTCGCGCGGCTCCGGCCCCGACCTCGACGCGCTCTCTCCGCCGCCGCCGCCGCTCCCCGGAGGGATACTCCCCTCCGCCGCGCCGACGCCATGCAGCGAGGCGGCATCTTCTTCCTCGGCCTCCATGGAAGAGCAGCTCCTCGCGAAATCGAGAAACCCTAGGGAGGGGGTCGCTCTTTCGCTGCCCGACGGAAAAAATCGGCGACGCGAGGAACGAATCGCGCAGATAAGGAGGACACGAGCCTCGCAGGGGGGGGACGGTCGAGAGAGGAGAGAGAAAAACCTTTTCGATCGAGTGACAACTTCGCTTATATAGAGAGAGAGAGAGAGAGAGAGGGAGTGTTCTTGTTCGCCTGCGTGACGACGAGGAGGAGGCAATGTCACAAGAACAACAAAATATCAAATATTTTAAATAAAAAAATGGAGTGAAAATGGGGCCATGCTCCTTGGGACGAAGCGGTGACGTCACGGGAGATATTTTAGCGGTTAATTTTTGTTTCGGTAATATCGGCATATCGTCGCGTCCCCTCCGGAGGTTCACTTCACAGTCATCCCCCCCACGCTGTAGCCGGAGTGCCGGCGTAGTAGCGGATCGATCGGCGCACGTGGAAGAAGGAAAAGGCCAAAAAAGCAAAAGCAAAAGCAAAAGAAAGAAATGAAAAGAAAAAAATAATATATTAAAAAACTTTAAGATGAGCCGTTCCGGAAAATATTTTCACCTTCTTAAATTTAGGAATTCACTTTCCCCCACCATTTAGCCGGAGTGCCGTAGTGATAGTGCATCGATCTCCTTTTCTTCGTGGAAAATTAAAATGAGTTTTATTTGTATGGGTCACAGGCTTAATTCCCTAAAAAAAATTTAATTTTCTTTTATCGAGATTCGGGGAATTCGACCTCGCTCGAGGCCGACTGTCGCTGACACCCGACGACCGGCAGAGGAGGAAGAAGGAAAAGAAAAAAAAAAGAAAAATTCAAAAATTCAAAAGGAGCAATTTCGAAAAGTGTTTTCATCTTTTTTTAATTTAGGAATTCACTTTTCTAATTTTATGCGTGAATATTTTGACAGGAAAGTGTGTTCGGTTGAGTAATCATTTATGGCGAACCTAACGGGTAAAAGTTTGAAAAACTAATTCCGAAAAAACACTTTTCCTCGAACAAAAGCACCCTTAGGCCCAATCTCAATTTTGTTCCAAATTTTTGTATTGGTCTCGGAAAAAAGTCACAAGTTATCACTCTAGTTCCAAATCTACCTCGATTAACCTGCCGTCCAAGTACCATCCACTGGTTTCTTTAAAATTATCAACATCATGGCCACTTATGTTCTTATCCATGCCCTCACCTCATATGAAACAACAATAGTCTCGTGATATTGATGATTCTAAAGATATCAATGGCAATTTTTGAATGGAAAGTTAACAAGGGTGGATTTGAAATTACAGAAAAAGTTAATTTTTTTTTATGGTAAAATTGGGATTGGATATAAAATTCAGTATGTTTTTTAGAGAATTAGGCAATATAGTCACGCTAATACCACCATCTATGCACGTGCCAACAAAAAAAGTTCACAAATCTTGTATATGGGTTTTTTTTCATGAAATTCCTTAGTTATCCTTTGACCACTGCCCGAGGGTCGGCGACCTCCACTAGCCCCTGGGCGAGGGCCACAAAGCCCTTGCCGGCCACGGACGAGGGGTTATTGTGACATCTGAATTTTTCGTTATAACATTTATGTGACATTGGAAATTTTCCGTGTTCAATAACGATACTTAGATTATAAAGTTAAGTAATATTTAGCTTAGAAATTGGGTGAATACGTAGAAATTTTGGTTGGATCGTAAATTTTGCGAGGTGTGAGAAGCGCAAAGGATGATTTTCTACTAACTTAATCACTCCGAGTCCGACGCATTGAAATTAAATTGATAATGTTGACATATACGTTAATGGCTAGAATAATATTACTTAGTTTAATGCAATCTCTATTGTCAATGGGGAAGGACGTATTTTTTCTGAAATATATTATTATCGAGTTTTGAATTACAAAATCGACATTCCTAACGTCGGTATTATCTATCAATATTAGAACAGACACTAGTTCTTTAAATTTTCTAGATATTTTGGTGACTTGACAAATGTCTATATTAAAATGGATTATTTAGTTTTAGTCAATTAATCGTAAGTATGACTTATGGAATGGTTGGTCAAAAGAGAAGATGGATGACCTCCCACTCTATTATCATCTTCAAAACCAACCACACTAAGCCACAAAATGCCACTCGCTCTTTTAATAATGCATGTAAGGCCATTTGTTCTTTCATATTGAGATCTTAATGTTAATTTTGACATATAATCCTCACATGCCCTTCTAAGGATACATGCAAAGCCATGTGTCTCTTCCAAAGTGAGACCTCATGCTAACTTGACACTTAAAGACTAAGTGTCATCAACATAAGATATTAGTCACCAATTCATTTCCCACTTGGCCATAAGCAAAGTGAAACCATGTCACATACAACCACTTGTCTCCTTAAGAAAGAGAAATTTGCATGAGAGGCCACATGCTCTCTACTACTCTTGCATGAATGGTTAGTTGTTTTCTTAAGGTGAAGACATTTATACCGCTAGGCATCACTGCATCCACTATTAGCCAAACCACTATTATGTTCTATTTGTACAGCACGTGGTAATGAAAAATGAAAGTTTTGTGAGCTTATCACATGTAGCCTTCCTTCTACACGCAAACTTACACTTGTTTTCTCTCAATTAAGAATTAGCACGTTAAGAGCGCGAATGACAACATTTCTCTTTATCAACCCTATTTCTGGCTAGAAATTAAAAATTCTATTTCTTTTTCTCAGACAAGTTTCTGTGCAAAAAGTAGCGTTTGATAACGACACAAAATTTTTGCTTTCGGAATAGAAATTCGTTTGATAACGACGCAAAATTTCCATTCCCGCAAGGAGGGGGGGTCACCAAGCAGCAGTGGTGGGCAATTGGGGTGGGGGGGCCGCCGCGGCCGACGAGCGGCAGCGGGCGGCGGCAGACGGCCGACAATCGGCGGCGAGTGGGCGGCAAGGGTGAACAATAAAAAAGAGTTGTTATTTCTATTTTCATTCCAGAATTAAAAAAAGTAAAAAAAAATCAACTTTTCATTTCTGTTCCAAATCTATTTCTTGGCCAAAATTTGTCCCAAAAATAAAAAATAAAATTATTTTACCAAATGGATTTATGTTCCAAACTTGTTCTCTAAAACAAAAAAAAATAAGGAAACAGAATGGTTATCATTCGCACCCTAATTCTAAGAAGAGGAGAGGTATAATCCTTATCATAATGACCTTTTTATCGAAAAAGACTTCAAGGGCAATGCTTCGCTACTTTTGAAATTCTAAGGATGAAAGGAACGACTTCATTTTTCAAGAGGAAATTCAAGGTGGGATTAAGCTTTGGGTTATTCAAGTTCTGTTGAAGGTAAGTGAAAAATGTAGATGTTAAGTTAGTCCAATCTACTTAACACTTTTAACTTGGCAGCGGACGGCCGGTGAAAGGCGGCGGCGGTAGGTGGCGGCAGACAGCCGAAGGCCGGCGACAAGTGGGCGATAAGGGTGAACAATAAAAGAGAATTGTTATTCTATTTCTGTTCCAGAAACAAAAAAGTAAAAAATTTTAACTTCTCATTTATGTTCCAAATCTATTTCTTGACCAAAATTTTTCCAAGAAATAAATGAATAAAATTATTTTACGAAACAGATTTTTGTTCCAAACTTGTTCTCAGGAACAAAAAAATAGAAAAATAAGGAAACATGATGGTTATCATTCTCGCCATAATTCTAAAGAGAGGAGAAGTATAATCCTTATCATAATAACCTTTTTATCAAAAAAGACTTCATGGGAAATGCTTCGCTACATTTGAAATTCTAAAGATGAAAGGAACGACTTCATTTTTCAAGAGGAAATTCAAGGTGGGATTAAGCTTTGGGTTATTCAAGTTCTGTTGAAGGTAAGTGAAAACTATAGATGTTAAGTTAATTCAATCTACTTAACACTTTTAACTTGATTGGTTGTGATATGTTATTTTGATTTCTATAATATTGTGAATATGGTGATTGTTGGATTTGTTTTATTGGTTTCATACATGTTCAAAAGGTGTGTGATTGGTTTTTTAAAGTGTGGTAAAATTAGCAAAGTGAAAATGATGAATCTGAACCTAAGTAGATTTATTTCTAAAATCGAGCAGATTTGCTTTTTGAACTTGAGCATGTTTACTTTCTCAACCTGAGTTTATTTACTTCTGAATCTGAGTTGATTTTATTTTATGAATCTGAATTTATATATATTTGAACTCGAGTAAATTTTACTTTCTAAATATGAATATATTTACTTATGAACCCAAGTAAATTTTACTTTCTGAATCTAAATATATTTACTTCCGAACCCGAGTAGATTTTACTTTCTGAATCTAAATATACTTACTTCTGAACCCGAGTAGATTTTACTTTCTGAATCTGAAAATATTCCTTTGTCTTATGAGTATATTCATTTATTGAGTACGACCATATCTTGTTTCTTTATTTGATTGAGTAACCAATGTACTTCATTATCTTGATAAATGTGTAACCAAATAATAATGGAAGAAGAGTATATGTATTGAAGTGCATGTAAATGATTGCATGAGAAATGGCAGATTATTGTGATGAACATGGCGATTGTTATGAATTGCATGCGAATGATGTGATTAAAACCTTTGCCACGACCTATTTGCCATCAAGCAAATTCCCTTGTATGAGTATGTCAATAAGACTCTGGAGTTAGCAAGATGTTCTACCGTTTATGACGGTTCTTTATATGGTTGAGATGACATGATATCCTATGATGACATGATTCGTATAATCATGGCATGACATGACTTTTATAGTCATAGTATGACATGTTTTATAACCATGGTATGACATGACTTTTATAGTCATGGTATGAGCTATTATCCTGCGGATATACATTTGTGTATTTATCATCGCCAATGTAAAGAACACTCGTGATGAATGGGCTAAGTCGTAACAAAAGGTATGACTGATTTCGTCCCTCATGAGTTGGTGGTGATGATATCTTGTTAATCGAGATGCCTCGTGAATTGAGATGATCCTGTCTAGAGACAAGTATGATTTCATATGTATATATTGATGATCTATTATGTGGCATCTAAGCATCATGAGAAAATATGTCATTTCTTTGCATTTGAGTGAATAGTTTTATGAAATGTTATTGGTTTTTGTTGGCATATTATGATAAGATAATGTATATACTGATGTACTCATTGTTTGTGATACCAG